AACTTTTATAATACATTGATTTCCGTTTATACAGAACAAATCTGTTATTCCATATAGAGGAGGAATGTGGGCTAAAGTTGTGCGAGTAGATCATTTTCCAGTACATCAACACTTGTTTAATATAGTTAGAAAGTTTGATGGGTAATTTAAGAGGATCAAAATCACATTTTAACAGAAAATCTATACCTCCAATCTTCTCAAACAGAAATGAAAGAATACAAAACCAGATAGAATCTTTCTTAATTAAAATTTTTTTTTAGCCATTGTAATTTAATAACTCCATTCATTACTTCAAAGTCAATGACTTTCAGACCTCCTTCTTCTATAGGTTTTACTAGATCGTTTTTTCTAATCAAATGTTGTTTATTATTCCAAATAAAATCATATTGTGTTTTATATATTCTCTTAACATATTGGTCAGGGATAGCTACTGAAAAAGCAGGATAGATTAATCTAGATATACTCTCCATTTTTGTTAAAAGTATTCTACCAAAAATTGATATATTTCTTTGGAGCCAACTATTTAGAATCTTTTGATTTTTATTAATTATCGGTTGAATATTGTTATCCACTCTCTCCTTAAAGATTTTATTAATCTTCATACCCAAATACTTAATTTCATTCTTAATAGGGATATCGCAAATATGAAACTCCTCAGTATCATGAATTGTTAATATTTCACATTTGTTAGCGTTCAACCTTAAACCTGAGGCTTGTGAGAACAAAGACAGCGTTTTCATGGCATTAGGAATTTCCTTGGTACTATTCAACAATAATGCAGTATCATCTGCTAGTTGAATTATTTTAAGCGAGTGTCCTGCCACTGTTAACGGTTTAATTGATTGGTCATTTTGAATTAGTAAAGTCAGCATTTCTGTTGCTATAATAAAAAGAAGTGGACTAATAGGATCTCCTTGTCTAACTCCTCTATTAACTGGAAATCTGGTTGTCGTACCCGAAGAAAGAAGAACTGCACTCGATATATCTTTGTATAGGAATGTAATAATATCAATGAATTTTTTACCAAATCCAAAGTGCTGAAGTGACTTTATAATAAAATGATGTTCGAGGCTATCAAAAGCTTTATAAAAATCTAAGAACAGTATAGCCCCATCCTCTTCTACCAAATTTTCATAATCTAATAAATCAAGAATCAGACGGATGTTGTCATGAATATGTCTATTTGGAAGAAAACCTGATTGAGTTTCACTAATGAAATCATTTATTCCATTTTTTAATCTGTTAGCCAGTGTATGAGTGAATAATTTATAGTCCACATTCAGCAATGTAATAGGTCTTAAGTTATCAATATTAGATTTATCTTTGTTGGGTTTAGGTATCAGTATTATTACTCCTTGTTTCATCGTAGTTAAGAGTGAATTATTCTGAATACATTCTTGTAAAACTTCAAATAGTAGCTCTCTAATATCTTTCCAAAAGAATTTATAAAAGTTTGTGGTTAGACCGTCCTGGCCAGGAGACTTACCCAGTGCTACCTTTTGAATCACCTTGTCAAGTTCAGAAATATTCAAATCCATATCACATTCTTCTTTAAATTCTAAATTAATTTGAGGGATAAACCTTTCAATGTAGTTAAAGAATTTTATGGAATCCAATTCTTTAAAGTGAGAAGAGTATAACTGATGGTAAAAATTATAAATACTGACTGAAATTTCTCTTTGATCTTTAATTAACTTACCATTAATATTTAGTGAATTTATCGCATTTTTTGTCTGTCTATTTTTCTCTAATTTACTAAAATATGAGCTATTCCTCTCTCCATCTTCTATCCATTTTGCCCTTGACCGAATGAAAGCTCCTTTAGCCTTATTTAAATAAAGCTCGTCCAGTTTTGATTGAAGTTTTAAATATTTCTCTCTATTCGTATCTGAAAGTGTACAATCTCCGCAAAGTTTATTCAAATCCCTAAACAATTGTCTTTCTGTTTCTTTATTGTTTTTCCTCCTTTCTTTACCATAATTAATAGAATATTTTCTGACTTCATATTTGAAAAATTCCCATTTCTTCCCTGCAGAATCAAGATGAGGATTTTCTATGACAGACAATAATAGTTTCTTAATCATTTTACAGTATTCCTCATCATTCAAAAATAACGCATTAAATTTCCAGTATCCGTTTCTACTTATATTTCCTGTCTTAGGAATTAAGTTTATAGAAACTACACAATGATCCGTAACAGGGGCTGCCGATATTTCAGCAAGAGAGATCTGGTCTAAAATAGCTTGAGATACTAGCCATAAATCAATTCTTGACTTATTATTACCATTTGTACGTATCCATGAAAATTGTCTAACACACGGGTTAATATGTCTCCAAGCGTCTGATAGCGAGTTGTTTACACAAAAACTTCTCAATGTTGGATTATAAACATGTGTAGAGAATTTAGTGGGATATCTATCCATCCATTCATCAGGAACACAGTTAAAGTCCCCACCAACCAATATATTATCTGTTGGATATTTAACTTTAGATTCTCCAATAATTTTTGAAATTTCATTTAAGAATATTTTGTTTTCTGTAATCAAATTATATCCATAAACATTACAAATAATCCACAAAACACCCTCACAATTCAAAACAGCAACTATCCAATGACCCTTTGAGTCTGCTTTATATTCCACAAGCTTACCCGGATAGTTGTTAAAACAGATCGCCACCCCTCCAGATTTGTTGGATCCATGACTAAGAAGGATGCTGTCTCCCCATTGAGTCTTCCAGAACGCCTTGTTGTCTTCACACGAATGAGTCTCTTGAAGAAATATAACTTGTGCTTTTTGTTCCTTACAGAATAGAAATAATGCCTTTCTTTTGGTAATGTCCTTTAGTCCTCTTGCGTTTAATGAAATAAAAGATATTCTTGAACTCATAAGGAATTCAAAACAGATCTAAACCCAAAAAGCAAAAACGTGAAAAAACAAACAAATAAATAGATAAACAACAAACAAACCCTAAATTAGATATAACAGGAATGTAAGATTTCACCAAAGAAAACTAGCTTAGTGACTAGTAGAACTGTCCCTCTAAATGACTTCGCCACTCATTCGGAAAGCCGTCCCCATCTCCTTCTTCAGGGGAAGATCTGGGTGTTTTCAATAAATGCAAACGGTCCTCTGAAGTATGCTCTCTTGTTCTTCTCCCGTGCCTCCTTCACCTTCGGCCACAGCAGCCTTCTCGCTTCTCTGTCTTCCTGAATCAGATCTTCTGCAAATCTTAGACCATTTTTCTTGCATACATCACAGTTCTTGGAAAGCTTCCAGATGAGGTCTCTGCACTCTCTCTTCACGAACTGAATAATTACTTGCCTTGTATGGAGAGCATCTTTTTTCCCGATACGATGCACCGTATCCACCATATCCTGGAAGCTCCACGGGACTCCCGGGGCGATTTTGTTCAGAATAGCAGTTACCGTGCCTTTTATGTCTTCGTTGTCTTTTTCACTTACACCCTTAAGTCGTAGGTTCCATCTCCTCTTATATTGTTCTTGTTCCTTACACTTTTCTTTTGTTGCAAGCAACTCCTCTCGTACTTTAACCAGTTCACTTTCCAGCAGCGTTGTTTTGCTCTTATTCTCCGCGACTTCTTTCTTTAGCTCCGTTAGCATGCTATGCTGTTCCTCCATCTTGGTGGCTAAACTTTCCAGTTTGTTTTCTTGCATATCAAATCTGTCAGACAGGTTGGTTACCGCATTTAGAATCTTTATCAGTGTAGAGTCCCCATCTTCTGTTTCTTTATCCTCCTCTGTCCTATTTTTCTTCTTGGACTGCACCTGAGGCTTGTTAGGAGTAGTCGGCGGCGCAACACGTTTGCTCCCGCTCACGGACTTTTCACCCGACATTTCCACACAGTAAGCGTGATCCTTTAAGCTCATAAATGCATAAGATGACTTCACTCCTCAAGCGACAATATTTTAGCCAACTGAATGAGAGTAAAAAGGCTATTTACTTTGCAATTTCGAGGGAAACAGTGAGAGCTCCTAGACGGACATGCTACTCAGAGCGCCATCTTTCGCCCCCCCCTGGCGTCTAACATCAATGATTTCTGTCGTTTTTGTATGAAAAACATGCGAATATCAGGTGTACTGGGACATTGCACTACCTTGTTTGATAAAAATAAGAAGCCGCCAAGTATACCCGACAGACTTATGCTCGTTGGATTGGAGATCAAAAAACGATCAGGGAAGTCTAACCGTGTCTGTAGGGGTTGTGTCTCTACGTTATCAGGAGTGGAAAAATATCTTCCACTGTATTGGAGATGGGTGGAAAACGAGAAGGACGATGAATCCTGTGCAAGAGAAAGCGCGACAAACTCTGAAAAAAGAAACTGAGAACCGACTCCTTCTAAAACTCCAAGGGCACTGAAAAGGTTTTGCCACAAAGCTACAAGTCCAGGAATAAATAATGTGAGGAGTATTAATGCGGTAAGTTTGCTAGGCTACTACTTCTCATATACAAGTATATATAGGTGATCTGAAACAGTACCGAACTACCTTAATTAATTTTATTAGTTAAGTTCATTATTGTCGTGATTGATGCTAGCAAGTTAGCCTTGAAATTTTGACCTTGCATAATGTGTCCTAGCTAATGTAATCTGTGAACTACAACAATATCATAAATCAGAGGGCTCCTATTACCCAGGCACGAGACCGCAGTGACAATGGAAGCCTCTACAATCTCTTAGTTGGCATATAATATATTAATGTGTATGCAGCCTCCATGCATATGCTTTATGTGCTGTTGTCTGCTTCACGTCATGAGAAATAGGTTACTTTGTATCGTGTGTGCGTTTTCTGTGTAACATCGTGAGCTGGCCTTCCATAAATTCCAAATAATCTACATGACATTAACCTGTGTGTGTGTGTGTGTGTGTGTGTGTGTGTGTGTGTGTGTGTGTGTGTGTGTGTGTGTGTGTGTGTGTGTGTGTGTGTTTGAAGAGGCTGTGATGTGTGAGTCATTCTATGAAGTGTGTCTAACCTTATTTTACTATCTTTCAGGCCATCACCAAGCAGAATGTGTGTGACACAGAGGAGTCTACGATAGTGGAACATATCACTAACAGGAAATGGGCAGCAGCGGCTAAGTTCATCATGAACCATAAAGACTTAACTCAAGAAGTCAAAAAAAACATACTTTCACTGCTTGAGAATGAGTGCAAGACAATATGCAACCCCAACAACAATTTCATTTTGTGGAGGTCATCGCCAGAAGATCTTAAGTCCTCATTTGACAAGCTTGAATCAGACCTACAGCGTCTGTCACCTCTTCTGTTCTCTATCTTTGCTACCATCTGCAACAACTCCAGTCCTGTCATCTGTGCTGCTTCTGCTATCGCACTCAGAGGGCGACAACCCCGTCTGTCAGCATTTGCTCATTATTTGAACTGTGTTCTTCTGTATGGGGGTGCAAAGAAGGCTGTCTTTGACAGACTTAGCAAACTTGCAATAACAACTGCTCACACAAATGCAATAGGAAAGCAAAAGGAGTTGGCAAACACATGTGGAGACAGTCTTTTCCTGCTAAAGAGGCTGAACGAATCATTCTTGACTCTGGAGACTGAGCGCCATAGAAATGTTGGCCTCAGAGAGGACAAAAAGGCAATGAGTCCATCGCGCAAACCAGAACTTATCCCCACAGATGTCTTCTTGAGCACTGAAGAACTTCAGTTGTCAGGTATGGTCTAACATACACACACCCAGATGACTTCATTGATTCATGTGTGTACATTTCCTTTATGTCTCTGTATTTTTGGTGTGTCACAACAGAGGAGGAGTTGGAATGCAGTGAAGAAAAGGCCACTGAAGAAGAAAATATCATATCTGTGCTTCTGCCAGAGAGCCAGCCAACTCCACCAAACACATATTCCATAATCATGGATAACTTGGATTTTTTTCATGCATGCACACCATCAGTCCACCCTCCACCGTAACAGATCCATTCACTGGATACACCACATTGCTGTATAGGATCGTATTCCAACACATCACCTGGCCAACGACATACCGCTTTTGGATCTTCAACAGTACAACCTCACTATGTCACTCCCAGGACATGAAACACAAACATATATGCGGAGAGAGTTTATTGTCATTGGTAGTAGAATTTTGACACAGTATCTGGCAGTTTTCAAATCTTTTCGCAATGTTGTGGTGCATCACATACCACATCAGTACTCGGAGGAAATGGCACAACCCTCAACGGATGTGAGATTTGAAACTAACATTGTATTAATTACTCAAACAACCAGTCACTATTATTGTATTAAAATTTCTAATTTGTGACCCCATTTTTAATTACAGCATCTGTTGGGATTGATTTTCAAAAATGAAAACAAAACCACTGACTTGTCTGAAGTACTACAAGAAATTCAGCACAAGTAAGTACGAGTGTTAGCAACATGAGTTTCTGTGTGTGCATGTATTTGTGCCAACCCTATTCTATTTCAGATCCCAAACTTATTGCAGTAAGAATGCCTGCTGTTATCATACAGAGAACCAACGTAGAGATTGAGAAACTGTAACGGCAGAAATTATATTTATGTTACTATTCAATTTATATAATTCTCTTTAGCTAAGATCGGTGTGCCTCAGATCATCACCTTTTCCTTCCACATTTACTTTTGAAGTTGTTATGATCCAGAAGAGCACCAGAGACACTACAGAAATTATAGTTTGAGGCAATCCCACCTATCTGAATCTATTTAGCTAAGCTTTTATGGCAGGCCACAACCTTCCTTCCTGCAGAAATTTACGCCTTTTACGAGTTTTGGCCAAAAAAGATGTTACAGATGTCATAGTCCCACTACTGTGTGTATAAAACAAACTTGTTAAACAACTTTTTAGCTGTTAGTTTATAAGTACAGACACTTGGCTAATCCATGATTATTTATTTACTGGCTTAATAAAGTGATTATTAGTTTTGTTTAATGTTTTAGATTTATATGAAATTGTAAAAAACAAAACAATATACACAAGTGACAACTTTTAATTGTTCATATTTTAACATCTATAATCACAAGCTATTTTTTACATTTATGTTCAGGGAGGGTAAATTGGGATTATTTTATTATTTGTTTGTAAACCTACTATCTCTGTAAACATTGCAGGTATGCTCCCAAAGGCCCTGATGGTGTGTCCAAAATACTGGTGGGAGGTGACAGGCTCACTGAGGCAAACTGTCGAAACATACAGTGTGCCTTTGCAGATGGAAACACCAATGAAGAGAGGCTTGAAGGCATGGTGTTCAAGTTTGAGGACTGGCATGCCATTCGAGTGCTTTTTGAGGTTTAAGTGTTTTTTCAATTTTTTGTCTGTGCTGTTTTTAATGTAGCATTTCTTTAATGACTTTTAATTTTCCTTGGTCGTAGATACACTACAAGGTATTCTTCAGTGGCAAGTCTGGCAAGGACCATGGCACGCTGTGTGCCAACATGACAAAGTTAAGGTACGTCAACTGTTATGAATATATGTCGACATATTTATATTAGAGCAGCATAGCCTACTCAGCCAGCAAAACATGTTTTGCTGGCTATCAATGACTTCAACATTTTTTAAAATTTGTACCACTCTCTTCACAGTTGTGACAACGCACAAAAAGAAACACATTTGCTCCAATCATCGTCTTTTGTAATGTGTTTCAATAACAATTGCACCACTTTCCACTATAGAGTGACCCCCTGCAAATCGGGTCTATGAATTGACAAGTCTGGTATGGCTTTACGACTTTTGTGCGTGTGTGTGCATGCGTGCATGCTTGTTTAGGGTCTATGAATTGACCAGCATATTGTGTGTGTGTGTGTGTGTGTGTGTGTGTGTGTGTGTGTGTGTGTGTGTGTGTGTGTGTGTGTGTGTGTGTGTGTGTGTGTGTGTGTGTGTGTGTGTGTGTGTGTGTGTGTGTGTTCATGCATGTGTGCATACCCACTGTGCGTTAAGTGGGAAACAAAGATGGCCGTGTGCAGTAGAAGTATTAAAAGTAAATATGAATGTCACAGGTGCAGCAATGCCAAGCAGGGTCCCCGTGCTGACTACAATGCCTACAAGCACTTCTTCACCACTGACACAACTGCACTTTTCCTAGCGGCTGCTGTGGATCTCTTTGGGTTAAAAGATGTTGACGGTAACTGCTGTTATCTAACAATATTTACCTATTTTGTGTAGCTTGTGGATCATCCTTTAAATGCAACTGAACATATTTCTCCTGTGTTATTTAGAAATACCAGATTCGTTTGTACCAGAGGAAATACAATCTGCTGCACCTGACTTAAGGAGAGCCTGGTTACATGAAAGAACATCTGAGGTGGTGGACAAGTGCATCATGCTTGGGGATGTGCCACAGGCTGTTGCTGGTGTCACTGAATCCCCCCGAACTCTACTCATAAGCAACATCCATGTAGAGCTCATGGTTGTCAACAAAGTTACACCTATCTCAAATCCCGAGACAACCATGAGATTAAAAAGCATCACATACAGATGTCTTTGACAGAATTGCATGAACACACAACATCTTCCAACCGTGATCACAAACAAGAACACACCTTGGCGCGGCTTAGCTTTGGGTTCTTTCTCATGGACATGTTGGATGCTGTTAAAGAGGGTGATGGGGAGAGACTAATGAGGTTGTACAGGGTAGCCCTACTGTATTACAAAGCATACGGTCACAGCCATTATGCCTACAGTACCTTTCTACTGACGCTGCAGGTAAACGCATCTCTGACACCCCACATGGCACACAGGGTAACCTGGAACAGGTTTTGGAGCACCCGGGGTGGGAAGGGTTGCAACATACCTCTTGATCTTCATCTGGAACACCTGAATAACTTCCTCAAGTTTTTCCTGAAGGGTCTGGGTCCAAATTTGTCTGAAGAAGCAGCACGTCGGTCAGTCAGTGCATTGGTTTTTTTAGAGGAATGATGGACAAAGTAGATGGAGAGTTGGGTGTCAAAAGTCCAACTGGCACCCATCGTGCTGCACAGCAAGAAACTGATGTTTTAACACTGGTAGAGGTTTTCAAGGAGGAGCAGTTGTTTAAAGTTATTCATGGTAGACAGTTTCAGGCCTTCCCAGGCTTTGATCAAAATCTTCTGCGGATTAAACAAAGATCTCTGGCAGTGGATGAACGGAAAACTGAAGGAGTGGAGAAATCGGAAAATATGAAGGGCACACTTTGAAACACTATAAGGTCTGTAGACACACTGTAAATGCTTTGTCTGTGTGTGTGCGCGTGTGTAGTGAATGTATGTATATATATATATATATTTTTACTATTTCATTACCTGTCCCGTGACTTACTTAAGCAAATGTTTTTGTCAGCATTTTGTTACTAGTGTTGAATTAAACACAAAGAAAATAAATGACTTTGAGATTTATTTACATGTAGCCATCTGAAAAGACACACAGTGACAAACATTAACAATATAGTTGTTAAAACAGTAAAATAATGTTGTAGGGGGTTATAACAGTAAATCAGGAACAGTATTTACACTAACAAAAAAAAGTTAAACAACCTGCATAAATGTCAGTTATTACACATAATGAAACATGTTTTGCCATTGATGGTCTGGTTAAAGGGCATAACTATTTAACAAACATTAATTACAACCTAATTGTTTTGAGAGTCAGTACTCAAAGCAGAAAGGCCAGATTCTAAACTGCTACATTGTGAGAGGACATTCCCCTCGGTGTCCTCATCAAAGTAACCCATGTAATTTGGGTCTGGGACCACAAAGTCTTCTGGAGGAAAATCTAATTCTGTGAATTTAAAATCTTCAAACACTTCAAATAATATCCTGAGTATTTCTTGGGCATGCCTTTTGCTGAACACTGGGAGATTGTTCATAATAAAGTTCAAGTCGAATATCTCTGCGCAGTGCTCCAGAACAGAGTTGATTAGCTCATCGCTAAAACCAGTACAATATGTGCTGTTTGTGTACAGATGAGTTTCAGGAATCAAGCTGAGCTTGTAAGTGTGTAACAGACTCTGAATCAGATCTTTTTCATCCTCCGTAACCTCTCTGATTTGGCCTGGTGCAGAAACCTCCAGTGGTGCCTGTTCATATTTAGGTACAGCCATGTCACAACCTGCTGAGGTACATGAACATACAGAGTGGCAGTATGTGCAGCACAAATGTCCCGGCACTACACTGTCAGTGTTGTTTTCAAATTGCGAGAATAGTGCCTTTCGAAAGCAACTTTTGCTGCTATTTTTTAGTAGCGTTCTAAGTCCCTCATCCACATTTGTGTTTAAATTGAGTCTGTACATAACGGCATGTGACAGAGAACCATCTCTCCCGGCCCTACCAGCTTCCTGCAGAATGGCCTCCATATCCTCTGGTACACCATACATAACTACGTGAGATATTTTAGGAAAGTTTAGTCCCATTCCCAGAGCACTTGTTGCCACAACAACTCTGCAGGGACCATCTCCACCAAATGAATCCAGTATTCTGCGTTTGTTTTGAGGAAGGGTGTGACTATGAAACATCCCAATTCTTAAATTTTCTGCCCTGCATTGTGGATCTTTATCAGCCCAACAGTCCTCACCAAGTTCTGCTTTCAGGTAACAGAACACCCTTCCAACAGCTGTCAGTGTTCGACAGTAAATGATTACTTGAAACATGTTGGTGTCATGCTCTTTCAGTTCACTCACAATCCAGTCCAGGCAGTCAAAAGTATGGGAAGACACTTTGATAAGCCCAAACCGAATATTTTTTCGGTTGGGGCTAATAGTGACTTGAGTAGCATCCTCAAAATGTAGCTGTTTTTGGATAATGGCTCGGGAATCCAGGTCTGCTGTAGCCGTCAATGCCAAAATGGGTGTACCTGAAAGAAAAGGAAAATGCATTAACATCTGAATAATGTGTTTATACATTGCTACACTTTTTTGAACATATACGCATTTACTAATAAGTTAAGGATTGTGTGTTAGAAATTATGTATATATTGTCAGCTAAGATCTGAGTTTATTTTGAGCAAAGTGCCAATTTTCTCACACACATAAGTGGGATGACAGTTCTAACACATTATGGTGGTGCAGAGTAAGGAGGGGATGCTGTATGTGTGTGTGTGTGTGTGTGTGTGTGTGTGTGTTTTAAGAGATAAATGCAGAGACTTAAATACCACCATCACATAATCAATAATATAGATGCAGTATAGGATTTTATTGTATAATGTTGACCTACTCACCCCGTCTCACAATTGACCTCAGTTCACCCAACTTTGCAAAACACTCTCTGAAGGCCTTGTGTCCTTTATCAGCTTTTCCCCTGGGCAAAAAGTCAGCAAATTGTAAAGTCTAATTCCAACACCATTCAACTCTAAATATTAGGTTTTGTTTAATTTCAAAAATCTGAGTTTATAGTGAATATAACTTAACATCTGGTTGTAAACTTCATCATTCAGACATAATGTAATTGCTTAGAAATGTAGGTTATATGTAGCCTACATTATAGACCATTTGCTGAAGCAAAATTATTTTTGGATGGCTTGCCAGGCTAGGTTATGTGTTGCTACTCACCATTTGTAAATCAGATGTACCTCATCCACAACGATCCCCAAGAGGTTATCTCTGAAGGTCTTTGTAGACATTTCTCTCCATTTACTTTGCATGAGCCAGGCTTCTGGACTACCAAATATCAACTGACAGTTGGCTTTTCGAATGTCCTTCAAAGTGTGTACGCCAAGTTGCATGGCAGTTAGTCCTAATTTACTCGCCTTTTTCACCTGGTCCTCCATAAGGGCGATCAACGGTGAGACTATAACCACAAGTGGGTTTTCACTGAGTCCCATTCGTTTAGCAACAACCGGAGCTAGCTGGTAAATTAAACTTTTACCGTATCCCGTCGGCAACGCAGCAAATACATCCTTTTGAAAAATGAAGGACTTTAGTGCCTCTATCTGTTCGTGTTTTAAAGAAAAGCCCAAGTCTAAATCGTCCAATGTTGCCGACAAAGCCGTTTCAAACGAACGTTGTTCCAGAGCTGCTGCCATGTTGTTTGTGTTCGCGGCATCTGTTCGCGGTCGCAGTTCTGACGTCCTCCGCTACACCGCTGATTAGAGTACTGTGATTGGCCCACAATATAAAGCGCTATGATTGGGCCGCAATATATAGCGCTGTGATTGGCCCACAACATATAGTGCTGTGATTGGTCCAACAACCACCAAAGAGAGTTGTGATTGGCCAGCCAGTGTTCTGGTGGGAGCTGTGGAGGTTACAATGGAGCGTGTCTAGACCATACTTTGCAAAGCAAGAATTTGGTCTAGTTCACTAGGCTAGGTTTTTAGGGCTTTACATGGACAAGCTCCATCATACGTTGGTGATCTTCGCATTCCCTACATCCCCAGCAGGTCCCTGGAACTCTCTCCCCCTGAGCCTGAGATCATTGGACTCAGTGGTCTCCTTTAAAAAGCAGCTGGAATCTCACCTGTTCAAGCTGGCTTTGATGTGACCTTCAACATCACCCTCCTTATTCTGCTCTTTCTACCCATTTTGCCTTTCCTGGGATGCACTGATTTCTCTTTCCTCTTCGTTTTCGCATTACCTTTCCTTACATTTTTAATCACAATTTTTAGAATTTTTTCAAAATCTTTTTTATATTTAAAATTTTTTGTTCTTAAGAAGCACCTCTGATTTTTATTATAAGAGGAGCTATATAAAAATTGTTTCCTTTTCTTTCTAATTAATATAGGCCATTTTAGTGGATGTTATTGTTCCGTTATGCCCAGATCATATCTATAGAACTTGTCAAGTGTTATTTCTTTCTGTGAGGCGTCTACACTTGAAAAGACCAGACTTTGGCTTCACTCAGATATGTCTATTTGACCAGTTTCAGGATCATCATAAGTCAGTATCAGCATCAGCATCAGGTAAAAACCTTTAAATACAAAAATAGAACTGTTTAAAGATCACACACAGAAAAACACAATGCGTTTTACAGGTAACACAAACTTAAAACATTCCAACCAACATCTGTAATTTAAATAGGTGAGTACTTAAGTTCTAAGTAAAAGTCTACTTTAAGGTTTAAACATATTCCAGTATTTAAATTAAACAAGAGAAGTTTTATTTTCTCAGATTTTACTACCTTATACATCTTTACTTTCACAGTTACTTTTTCAGTATTTAACCTGTGTTTTTAAACATTTTAATTAAGGTTTTAATTAAGGATTGTTACAAATAATCTTACGTACATTTTAACTAAATTCACTAATTTCAGGATTTAGACAAAGAATCTTGGGTTACCATTTTTAGATATTAAATTTCTATAAATTGGGATGGAAACCCATATTTTCTGATAAACTTAAAGAAAAACCAAAACTTCCTCCTAACAGTTGTTTGCCACAAAACTTAGCTCAGAAAAAAGTCCATGTGAATCATCCCAAGAGCTTACCGATAGCCTGTCAAGATCAAAGTCCTCCTCACAGCTGAATTGGTTGCTTGCCATCTAAGTTTTGTCACACCCTGGTTGAATGACTGCTGCATGCATGAAGAAGCCACTAGTGGTGAGCTCTTGATTTCCTGATTTGGCTCACCTGGAGGAGCACACACCGGAGTTCACAAGCCCCCTCTGGCCAGTGTGAAGATTGCATGCACAGCTCATGTGCAGACACTGTGCAGCAGAGTCAGCATAAGGAGGAGACAGTTGACCTCTGCCAGGTCAGCATGACAGAACTCATAACTTCACAGGAAATTTTTGGCCAAGCTGTATGATCGGTATCAGTAATCAACACTCCTGGAATTCGTGACTGGACGCATAAAACTTGATCAGAGCATCCCTAGATATGGCTTTTCACATGTATGTACATTTTATTTATATAGCACTCATCACACACAGAAAATCATATGGTGTTTCACATAGATGAAAACAAATCATTGTCATAAAATCCTACTGATCTTAAAACAGAAATAAGAATCTAAGTCACATATTTATAAAATACCATTAAACAATTGAAAGAGGATTACAAATTTGAGTTAAAAATAAGAAAATACTATAATTAGATATAGCAGCTTTAAAGGAAAGGGTCTTCTGCTGTTTTTTTTTTTTTTTCAAAGTGTCCAGACTGTCAAGACTAGTAAGGCTAAAAGGAGGACCACTCCAATGTCAGGGTGCAACAGTCTGGAAGGAGCCATCACCTGGACTTCTATAATTGGTCTTTGGAACTTCTAGAAGGTTCTAGTTTGTGGACCTGAGGGCTCGGGTTGGAGTATGAGGCTTTAGCAATTCAATGATATGTGAGTTCTCATGTGTGTAGTCAAGGAACTACTGTCACAAAAACATTTACCACAAGTTTTACATGGATATGGCTTCTCACCTGTGTGAGTTCTCATGTGTGTAGTCAAGTGACCACTGACACTAAAACCTTTACCACAAGTTTTACATGGATATGGCTTCTCACCTGTGTGAGTTCTCATGTGTTTAGTCAAGGAACTACTGTCACTAAAACATTTACCACAAGTTTTACATGGATATGGCTTCTCACCTGTGTGAGTTCTCACGTGTGTAGTCAAGTGACCACTGTCACTAAAACATTTACCACAAGTTTTACATGAATATGGCTTCTCACCTGTGTGAGTTCTCATGTGTGTAGTCAAAGCATTACTCTGTGAGAAAAATTTACTACAACATTTACATTGAAATGGCTTCTCACCTGTGTGAGTTCTCATGTGTGTAGTCAAGTTACCACTGTCACGAAAACATTTACCACAAGTTTTACATGAATATGGCTTCTCACCTGTGTGAGTTCTCATGTGTGTAGTCAAGGAACTACTGTCACTAAAACATTTACCACAAGTTTTACATGGATATGGCTTCTCACCTGTGTGAGTTCTCATGTGTGTAGTCAAGGCACCACTGTCACTAAAACATTTACCACAAGTTTTACATGGATATGGCTTCTCACCTGTGTGAGTTCTCATGTGTGTAGTCAAGTTACCACTGACACTAAAACATTTACCACAAGTTTTACATGGATATGGCTTCTCACCTGTGTGGGTTCTCATGTGTATAGTCAAGTGACCACTGACACTAAAACATTTACCACAAGTTTTACATGGATATGGCTTCTCACCTGTGTGAGTTCTCATGTGTTTAGTCAAGGGACCACTGTCACTAAAACATTTACCACAAGTTTTACATGGATATGGCTTCTCACCTGTGTGAGTTCTCATGTGTTTAGTCAAGGAACCACTGTCACTAAAACATTTACCACAAGTTTTACATGGATATGGCTTCTCACCTGTGTGAGTTCTCATGTGTGTAGTCAAGGTACTCCTGACACGAAAGCATTTACCACAAGTTTTACATGGATATGGCTTCTCACCTGTGTGAGCCCTCTTGTGCCTTTTTTGTTTTTTATCATCTACACTGTCTCTGTGATCTTTGGATTGGCATATTTTATTACGTGTCAGTCCTTCATTGCTGTTTGATTCCGAGTTTTCTTTCCTGCATCCACCCTGATCTTGGTTCTCAGCTTCTGTAGTACTCTGGCACAAGGGTTGGTTCTTGTTTGGTTCTGGTTCATGACAGTCTGTTTCTTCAGAAGGAGAAATCTCCATGAAGGTATCAACTTCCTGCTTCAGAAGAAACTGCCCTTCATGCTGATGGATAAGGAGTTCTTGTTGTTCCTCTTTCATCAATGGAGGTTCTGGTTCCTTCTGGTCCAAACTGGAGGTCCATTTCTGTTTAGAGAGCTGCTGGTCAGTCAGAGCCATCTTGTTTTCCCAGACATGATGCTGTGGAAGTTCTGGAAGTTCTGGACAGGATAAAAAACAAAACAAAATGTAGATTAATGTGAATAAAACAAAATCTCTTGTTTGGACAAAGCTTCTCATTCAACGTGTTTTTATTTTCATGACCATTTACATTGGGCGATTCTAACTGAAGGCATTAAAATTATGAATAAATACATGTGGCGTTATGTACCTAACCAAAACGGTGAAATAACTGAAAACATGTTTTATATTCTATTTTCTTCAAAATAAGTCACCCTTTGCTCTGATTACTGCTTTGCAAACTCTTGGCATTCTCTTGATCTTCAAGAGGGAGTCACCTGAAATGGTTTTCCAACTGTCTTGAAGAAATTCCCAGAGGTGTTTAGCACTTGTTGGCCCCTTTGTAAATGGCCATGAAAATAAAGAAAACATATTGAATGAGAAGGTATATATATATATATATATATATATATATATATATATATATATATATATATATATATATACGTGATGTCTCCGTCGGGAGGCCTAATCTACATGAGATATTGGCCCAAGGCCTTTCATGCCCTCTGCTCATCTAAACTGCTTCACCTCCTTACAGTTCAAGACAAGATGGAGAACTCTTTTGATAAATATATAATCAAACAATGTTTGTTATTGCCCATTAGAATGTGAATCAGATGTTCAATCATTTTGTGAAATGACAATGTATTACTTGATATTATAATCCTGTGATCAGTAGTAATTATAATTTTGGACAGCTGCACTAGACACGTTGACACAGAGTTATGTTAAGTCACATTACACATTTCCTTTTGTCTGATACAATCAGAACCTACGTTTCTGATGTAAGGCGTGGTTTTCTGTGGTGTCTGTATAAGCCCTCTTTAGCATGTCAAATTCTGATTCGCCAGTAAACCAAAATATGACAATTATAAAAACTATCTCCACGTCACCTTTACTTCAGTTCAAAGCGTTCTAGAGAAGTTTCGGACAGGCCATCCGGAACCTTTACAACCATAAGAACCTTGACAAGCTGGATAAAAATTTGTTGCACGTTACACCTGACCGCAGCAGTTCCTTCAGAATAAAAGCTGAACCTCACGACCCCTTCAGGGTCTCGCTGACGCCAATAATAACCTGTCGTGACCTGGAAGCATTCCAAGACTAGTCTGGTCGGCACTGCTGCTGTCTCTACCGGCTTCGGTACCAAGGAAGGTCCACGGACCTCGACATTCTGGATCTGAACGGAGGCTTCCCCTGTAGGTATATAAACCAACAGATGGCGTTTAACGTGTTTTATAAATCACCAACTGTAGTTTAGAGCAAAACATTCGCTCCCACTCAGAACTAATTGCTTCTCCGGATACGAGAGTTCTGAAAACAACAACACATACACCATTCATCTCACGTCTCATTCAACTCAATTCAATTCAAAAATACTTTATTAATCCCAGAAGGAAATTGATTAACTCCACCTAGATTAATTATTTCCACCTAGTTTCATCAGTACACAGAGTGTTTACAGTTAGACCTTGTTTAAATTGTGTAGAAATAAATTTCTTAACTATTATAAACCCGACTCACTCTCTTTTCTCTGAGTTAAGAAAGTGTCCAGTAATCACTGCAATAAAAAGTTCTGATCTTCTGGTTAAAATATTCAAAGATCTATCAGATTGATACTTCATATTCCTATGGAATCTCACAATTTATGGTTCATAAGTAAGATGTAAACTACCCATCGTTAATATATATATATATATATATATATATATATATATATATATATAAAATATTTAGTTTCTATGAACATTTACATTTATATTATTAAAATTTAGAATGTAAGGTTGAAATACTCCAAAAAAATGGCACCACAGCATGTAAACATGTCAGGGGTGGACCGTTAAAGCGCCCGAGCGCCAATGGCGCTAAATTTTCTCGTCGGGCGGTAAATACTTGACGACTTACCGCCCGGGTGGCGCCCAAGCCTTATTTGTCATTTACACACCGGCTTTCACCTACATCATGGCCCCGCCCTGTAGGAAGCCGCTGTTTTCGTTTCGCACGCGTGAACCTGCGCGCCTCTAGCCACGTAATGCACTTGTACGATTCGTGCACGTACTGCACAATTCTAGTTATAGTCACGTGAACTACAAGTTCACTATTAAAGACGAAGTGGAACCACGCTAGAAACACACAAGCACGCAGGAAGATCGCGCCACCACAGGGATGGGATTTCTTGATGAAATCTCCGGAAAAACGCTTTAAAACTGGTGAGGAGAAGCGAGACAGTTCGAAACGGTATGAAGCAGAGAAGCGTGTGCGTAGGTGGAATGATTCTTGGCGGTTTAAAGAAGACGGGAGGCGCAGAGAATGGCCGTGTTTGAGTTTAGCAGCGCCTCGCCTGGAAAACAGACAAGAGCAGACGGAAGCAGCAGGGGGAGTGGCTGAAAGCCGGCGTTTACGCCGGGGACACACCGGCCGCGGAAGCGCCGAGAAGCGAATCGCTCACGAAATTTGGCCGCTGCTCAGTTCGGATCAGGGCTCAGCTGTAGTTTTTCCTCCATTTCCTCAGCTCTTTTCCTCTCTCTCTGTCTCTGTCTCTGTGTGTGTGTGTGTGTGTGTGTGTGTGTGTGTGTGTGTGTGTGTGTGTGTGTGTGTGTGTGTGTGTGTGTGTGTGTGTGTGTGTGTGTGTGTGTGTGAGAGAGAGAGAGAGAGAGAGAGAGAGAGAGAGAGAGAGAGAGAGAGAGAGAGAGAGAGAGAGAGAGAGAGAGAGAGAGAGAGAGAGAGAGAGAGAGAGAGAGAGAGAGAGAGAGAGAGAGAGAGAGAGAGAGAACGAGAACCTTTGGTGTGAACAAGTTGTTTCTGCCAGTTGAATCTCTTGGATTTCCCTGTATGTGTAGCTCGGGGGTGACGATGGATGAAGATATCGCGTTAGCATTCACACTTGTTCAATTTTCAATTGTAATCCTGGTGCCTGTTAGCAGCTGAAACACATCCTCACGTGCTTGTGGATATCATATATTCTATATGAAAACATGACTGTAATAATAAGTAAAGGTTATCAGCTGTAGCTTCAGTGTGCTCATAGGAAACGTGACAAAAGAACACAAAACACATTTCTCTTTAAGGCCTATATAGTTGTCATCATCAACGTAACATGATTTACAGAATACATGTGACCAACTAACATTTCATGTTCTACCACCGGATGTTTGGATCAAAATATGAACCAATCAGATCTTAGATCAGGTGAAAGCCAGGCGTTTCCCGTCATCATCTAGGTTTTGCAGCCGAGGGAGAGCAACTGCAGCACCTTGCTCCAAAATCTGCGGCCGCCTTGATCTCACGAGGTTATCGTTGCCTACGTATGCATGACGTCAGAGCAAGTCGGCGTCAAGTCGGACACAAATCTAACCGGCATGCACTGCTCGCCGATCACCGGTGATCTAATCTGCGCAGAACTGACTCATCTCGAACACAGTCAATGGCTCGAGTACAGCTAAGCGGAGTTGGTGATGTACTGCGTTGTATGCCGTAAATATGTGACGACAAAATAGAGCTGTTGAGGGAACAAACAAATTCAAACTTGAATACGTTATTATGTTTGTGAATGTGTACAAAATGAAGGTTTATTACATTTAAAACGGTTCAGTTGTTATTTTGACTCGTTTTGGCAGCTGACCAGCGGGGCCGGTAGATTCTTGGCGGGGCCGGTAAATATTCAGAGTTACCGGCCCTGCTGGCCGGTTGGTTTTGAAGTTAATGTCCACCCCTGCATGTAAATATAAGTTCTGGCAAACTCTGGCAGGTCTTAAGGATTAATGAAATACATTAAATTCTACTGATCATAGTTTAACTGTGGATATATTTATATATGTTCTTTTGATTAAGATTAGTAATATTAAATGATCAACGATAAATGATCCACACTTGTACAGCGCCTCTTAGTGTAAGGACTCCAAAGCGCTTTACACTAGTGTATCATTCATTCATTCATTCATTCACACACTGATGGTGATGAGCTACGATGTAGCCATGTAGCTGCCCTGGGGCGCACTGACAGAGGCGAGGCGCCCGGCACAGGCGCCACCGGTCCCTCCGACCACCACCAGCAGGCAAAGTGGGTTAAGTGTCTTGCCCAAGGACACAACAGCAGAATTCTCTGTCCAGAGCGGGGATCGAACCTGCAACCTTCCGATTACTGGACAACCCGCTCAACCTGTTGAGAGCTACTGCTGCCCGCTCAAGCTGTTGAGCTACTGCTGCTTAGTACCACTGGTGGGCAGTCAGGGCCAGCAAAGCCTTCTCTGCTGGCCTAAACTTACTCAAAAAAGTAAACGTATTTTTTCCTTTGGTAAATATTTTTAAATAAAAATTTTCACTGGCCTATTTTCTTTATATCCTATTATACCCACTTGGTTGCACTGCTTCCAGTGTTAAAATACCAAGGTTGGGTGTTATCCAATCAGATTTCAGCTAGCTTGCATTTTCAGGTAGATCTGCCCTAGGTCTTCAGAATCAACCGAGCAGTCCGCTCGGAGTGTAAGTGAACAGAGACAATCCAGCTGCAATAGCCAATCAGCTCACGAGTCAGCATGGCCCACGCAAAAGCTGACATGAACGCATCCTGTGATTGGATAAGCAGTAGTTTGAACTTGTGTAGCGCCATTAAGCAAAATATCAAAACTAACCACGGAGATTTGTATCTATAGACAGCTATTGTGTATTTTTTGAACACATGATGGCTGAAAGAGGAGAAAGGACAGACTTGGTTGCAGATTTCCTTGCCACGCCATTTTCAAGATGAATCTTTCAAGAAAAAAATGGATCTTGTGAGAACAGGTCGTCCCGACTCCAATGCTAGCTGGCTTGTCACAGCAGGGGAAAGGATTTGTTCGACATTTTTAGGCAAGCAACTATGAATGGTCATGTTTTTGGGTAAACAGGAACTTTCATTTAGGAGACACGATGAAAACCCCCAGTCATTAAATAGAGGTAATTATGTGGAGCTTTTATCTTTTCATGCTGA